TTCCTGACCCTGCCTGAAAGATGACCTCCTTTGGGCCATTTCTCCCAATTGAATAAGCTCCAACAACTAGTTCTACTTCCTTCCCAGCCATGCCAAGACAGACTCCTGAGACTCCAAGTCTTCGTGATGGCATTTTTAAAATTCTGCCCTCCCCAAACTCCTTTTCCTACTTATGCACCAGGACTGACTCTGGGGAGAAGGTCTCCTCTTGAAGACACTGCCAACTCTCATGGGAAATTCAAGCTGGGCTCTCATGCCAGCATCCCAACAAGCCTGGAGCAGGAGCTATTCTTCTGGGAGGCAGCAAGTCTGCTCTCTAAAAACCTCAAGGTAGCTCACCGACACTCACTGGAAACCCATATATAGATAGGAAATAAAAAGGAAAAGTATGTACCACAACTCTGGTTTAGAAGAGGGAGTCCAAGGAAGGTTTCAAGGGAAGGATAGTCCTGAATAATGACCAACAATTATCCAAGCAAATTTTGGATGGTAGAATAGCATACTCAAGGGCTTAGAGACAGAAAGGCAAATTCAGGGAAGTACACACTTTTAGGTATGGCTAGATTATGTGTGTGTATGTGTGCCCATGCACATGTGTGTGGGTGAGCATAAAGCATGAGGTTGGAGGTTACTGGTGGGAAATGAGACTGGAAAGAAAACCAGGAGCCAGACAATGGAGGGCCTTCCTGGTTTCCCCATGCTAGAGAGTTCCAACTTTGTCTTGAAAGCAATTAAGAGGGCCTGAAGTTTTTAAAGCACGGCGAAGTGGTGGGGTGGAGTGTAGGATTAGATTTCTATTTTAGAAAGATCGTTGGCTACTGGATGGATAATTGATTGCAGAAGTGGAATTAGAGCAGTCTGAGGTGCCCATGAGATTTCTAATTTCGAACTGAAGTTTACATAGTGGAGATAGAGAGAAGTGGATGCATTCAGAACATATTTTAAAGGTAAATCTGATGGGACTTTATAATTGGTTACGTGTCAAGAAGAGGGGAGGAATCAAGGATGCTTGGCTTGAGTTGCTGGACGAAGGATGGCCCTAGTGATATAGGGAACATGGTGTGCAGAATTGTTTGAAGATAGGGAAGACAGCAGATGATTTTAGCTTTGCAAATGTTGAGTTTAAGATGCCATGAAAATATTCAGGTGGGGTCATTCCAAATGCTGTTAATTATACAAATCTTGAGTTCATGGGAGAGATCTGTCCCAGAGATACGGATTCAGGAATCATTTAGCATAGAAACAGATTGATGAAACCACCCCTAGAGAATGTGAGGGATGAGAAGAGAAGTCTAAAAGTCCAGATGAGACTCTGCAGGGAATATTAAGATTTATACAGAGGGCACAAGAAGAAAAACTTATAAAGAAGACTTAGGGGATGCCTGAGTGGCTTGGTGATTGAGTGTCTGCCTTCGGCTCAGGGCGTGATCCTAGGGTCCTGGGATCGAGTCCCACATCAGGCTCCCCAGGGGAGCCTGCCTTTGTCTCTGCCTCTCTCCCTCTGTGTCTCTCATGAATAAATAAAATCTTTAAAAAAAGAGGACTTAGAAGCATCATTTTGAGGGGCAGGGAAAACCAGGAGTGGTATCACAGAAAACAAAGGTAAATACACTTTTATGAAGGAGCGGGACAAAGTGAGATGACAGATCTGGGGACAAGAAAACTGTGGGCAACCTTAGTGTTAGGGAAGGGCTAATGGCAGAAACCAGAGCACAGAGGCTTGAGCAGTGGGTGGGATGGGAAAGAAGTAGAGACATCAACATAAAATGGCTCTTTTAGGAACCTCAATTGTAAGAAAATGATGAGGATAGGGTAGTAGTCTCACAGGGAGGACGTCGGGTAGGGAGGTAAAAAAAAAAAGTCACCAGGAGATGCTCACCAGGGAAAAGTAGAAGGATTTGCAAGCAGCACTGAAGGTGCCATTGAGAGGCATAGTCATGATCGAGATAGGGTAGAATTGTAGCAGCTTAGTGATAAGAAGACCAATGCATGGAAAGGACCTGTGCATTGTCACAGCTGGTGAGCACCAGAGCTGAGATTTCAAACTAGATTTCCCTCCCCATCCCATCAGACGTGTGTTGGCTCCTACTCAGCTCTGGTCTGCATCAACATTTGCCTTGTTGTGTCCATCAGCAATGAAGAGTATTGACTGGGAGCTCTGTGCCTGATTCTGCAGCGGCACAACACAAGTTTAATCTAAGTTTAAAATATTGAATAATTAATCAGTTTAATATATTTCCTCCCTCAACTGGTTTAGAATTGGAAGAGCCAAGACATTCAGCAAATGCCTATACAGAAAATAGGAAACTCTTTTTCTCTCTTTCTCTCTCTCTGGCTCTCTTTCTCTGTGTCTATGTTTTCTCTCTCTCTTCTCCCTTTCTGTCTCTCTCCCTCTTCATTTCCCTCCTTCCTTCAGTTCCTTCTCTCAACTTTATTTTTTTCTTTTAAAGATTATTTATTTATTTATTCATGAGAGACACAAAGAGGGAGGCAAAGACATAGGCAGAGGGAGAAGCAGACTCCCTGTGAGAAGTTCGATGTGGGACTCGATCCCAGGACCTTGGGATCACGTGAGTCAAAGGCAGACACTCAGCCACTGAGCCACCCAGGTGCCCCAGAAGTATAAGGATTTAAATAGGAAATTGCAATACACTGCAAAAATTACTATTTGTAGCTCAGTTTCCTCATCTATGCCATAGGGATGATCAGCACCTACCACAAAACATCATGACAATTTAGTTGACATGTATAGAGTGCTTATAATGGTCACATCGGAAACACTATATATATTATTATTATTATTATTATTATTATTATTAGTGTTGTTATTACTACTGTACTACCACGATGGGGTTAAGGAAACACAGAATGCTGCAAGAACATGGAGGACAGGCATTTGACCCAAGCCAGAGGAAGAGACATAGGAGTTGAACCCTAAACAGAGAGAAGGCAGTAAACCAAGAGAGAATGCTGGGCATCCTGCACAGAAGGAACAGCCTCCACTCAGATTTGGAAGCAAAAGACAACATGACATGATTGAGGAACTGAGAATAAGTTAGTTCAGCAAGAATATGAGGAGGACAATGGCAAGAGATGAAGCTTGAGAGGTCATAGAGCACAAACAAGTTTGGACTTTATCCTTTAGCCAATGAGGAGCCACTGGAATGTTTTCTGTAGACACTTGATCAGATTAATGTGTTGAAAGATCACCTTGACAACGACGTACAGAATGAATTGTAAGAGACAAGACTGGAAATGAGACCAGTTAGGAAGTCACTGCTACAGTCTGGGGAAGAGGGGATGGTGAAGCACTGACCCGGGCAAGTAGAAGTAGGAAGGGGGAGAAGGGTGCCATGGATTTGAGGTGTATACAAGAGGTGGAGTTGGTGAGATATTGACCATGGAAGGTGAGGAATCAGCATGAAAGAGGTGTCAAGAATCACTCTTGGGGTTTTGGTCTGGTGCAAGAGAATGGGTAGAATTATCTTTCAGTGATCATAGGGGACTCAGGGAAGAACTGTTTGGGAAAGTGTGCATTAGGAGAGGTGAAGAGTTCTCTTTTGAACGTGTCAAATTTGAGGTGCCTATGGCATTTCCAGGTGGACCTGGAATTAAAGATTTATTTATTTATTTATTTATTTATTTATTTATTTATTTATTTATTTAAGGTGGGGGGGCCTCAGGGAGAGGGAGAGAGAAAATCTCAAGCATACTCCCCATTGAGCCTAGACCCCGACATGGGACTCGATCTCATAACCCCAAGATCATGACCTGAGCTGAAGTCAAGAGTTAGACACTTCACTGACTGAGCCAACCGGGCGCCTCAAAGTGGATATTTTACATAGGTGATTGCTCTGGCAGTCTTGAAGCTCAGGAGGAAGATCTACGATGGAAATTCAGATTTGGAAGTGTCAGTGGATGGGTTGGAGATTAAGTCATGGGGGTGGGTTAGGTCCACTTAAGATTAAGTCATGCAGCGTATTTGCTCAGGGACAGAATGTTGGCTGAGGAAAGAATGGACTCCTGAGGAATACTCAACATTTAAAAGATGGTGAACCTTGGCAAGAGTGTGTGTGTGTGTGGGGGGGGTGCTCCTTGAACACCGCAAAATCCTACACAGCTCTGAGATATTCTAAAGGATCTGCTCAGATGCCTTCCTCTTACAAAGCTTTCCATTGTAGAACAGCTTCCCTTTCCTGTCTCCATTCTAGACTCTCTGCTAGGAGAGAGCCTAAGGAATTTCAGGGGGCCCCCCGGGCCTTGGCACAACCTTTGCTCCCCAATCCTTCCCCATTATCTCAGAGGCTGGGACTGGTAGGGTCAACCACTAAGAGAGCAGACAGGAAATATTGGAGTGTGGTGTACATGCAGGAGGAGGCCTTAGGCTGGCTTGCAGAGGGAATCTGGGCAGGACTGGGCGGACCTGAACTCTCCGAGGGGGATGGAAGTCTTTTTTGCTGACCTTAACCTGCCCTGGAGTAGATTTTTCACCTTGGGAAGAACAGCCTAGGGCTAGACCACTGCTCTCTAGGCCCCTGGAGGTTTGAGAGAGGCCTCTGATAGCCTGGAGTCCAAAGCTATGTCCTGGGACCCATTCCTCCTGGCCCAGGCTCCTGGAGTTTGGCCTTAGTCTGCAATTGAGGGGCCCCATGTCCCTGTTGCCGGGCAATGTATTAGACAGCAGCCTCTGGAGACAGAACCATGCCAACTAGGAGGCTGACCTGGAGCCAACGTGACCGGCACAACCGCCACTGCCACCACTACCTTCTCGGAAAGGAGCCACCCGTCTGGCCCCTGGCTTTGTCTGGTTGCCAACCTAAGGGCATGTGCCTACGCAGGAGGCGATGACATTTTGGCTCTACTTTCAAAGTTTTTTTTTTCCTTTCTCATGTGTTATTTCTAAAGATAACAAAGGTCAAAAGGCATCCAGCATTTTCTGGTTTCTCATAAGCTTCTGGTCAATATTTAATCTGGTTTATGGATTTTTTTTTAGGTCTTCTAGATACCTTCTTGAGCCTGCTTGTGGCCACCCACAGACACTTGTAAGGAGGAGAGAAATCAGCTTGGCAGAGACACTCTGAAATGAGGGATTAGGGGCCAGAATCCAAGGAACGAGAGCTGCAGCCCGGAAGGCAAAGGAACAAGCCCTGAAGACACTTCTGCTGGGAGGTCCGCCATGGCCTCTCTCGGCCTCCAACTTGTAGGCTACATCCTAGGCCTCCTGGGGCTGTTGGGCACCCTGGTGGCCATGCTGCTTCCCAGCTGGCGAACAAGCTCCTACGTTGGTACCAGCATCGTGACGGCGGTCGGCTTCTCCAAGGGCCTCTGGATGGAGTGCGCCACACACAGCACAGGCATAACCCAGTGTGACATCTACAGCACCCTCCTAGGCCTGCCTGCTGACATCCAGGCTGCCCAGGCCATGATGGTGACATCCAGTGCGATCTCTTCGTTGGCCTGCATTGTCTCTGTGGTGGGCATGAGATGCACTGTCTTCTGCCAGGACTCCCGAGCCAAAGACAGACTGGCGGTGGTGGGTGGAGTCTTCTTCATCATTGGAGGCCTCCTGGGCTTCATCCCCGTTGCCTGGAACCTTCATGGGATCCTGCGGGACTTCTACTCCCCGCTGGTACCCGATAGCATGAAGTTCGAGATTGGAGAAGCTCTCTACCTGGGCATTATTTCCTCCTTGTTCTCCCTGGTAGCTGGCATCATCCTCTGCTTTTCCTGCCCACTCCAGGGAAATCGCTCCGACTACTATGACTCCTACCAGGCCCAGCCCCTTGCAACTAGAGGCTCTCCAAGGCCGGGTCAACTGCCCAAAGCCAAGAGCGAGTTTAACTCCTACAGCCTGACAGGGTATGTGTGAAGAACCAGGGGCCAGAGCTAGGGGGGCGGTTGGTGGCCGAGTCTGTGAAAACCAGTGAACAGCACCCCCCAAACCACCCCCCCGGGGCCACAGGTGAGGGACATTGGCACTGTATCATGTCAGAAGGTGCTGCTGAGGCTAGATTGACTTTGCCCACTGGATCAAGTGAAGGCAGAAATGAGAACTGGTGCAACAGCATGCAGGTTCGATTGTCAAGATTGCTTGCCAAGCCAGCCTTTCTGTTCCCTTCACCTTGCCCACGGCCCTCCCACCAACCCCCTACCCCCCATCCCCCCATCCCCCACCCCCGGCTCTGAGTCCCCAACCCTCTACTCCAAACTCCACCCTGCAGCCTAGGCCAGGCCACAGAGGCTTCCCTCCGCCCTTTGGTTTACCTGGGAATCCATCTGCCAAACCCACTAATTACATCCCACTGACTAACCCTCTCTGTGATCAAAGACCCTCCCCTCTGGCTCAGGCTGGTTCTTAGCTCATTGCTGGGGGAGCTAGGGTTGGGGCTGGGGGCGGGGAGTGGTGGCTTTTGTGGGCCCGGCTCTCACCAACTTCCCAAGCTTCTCTCCAAAGAAACTGGTCAGTAATGGAGCCCAGAGCCTCCATCCCATTGTTGTTATGACTCCACAGGGTTCAGACCGGTTTGTGCGTGGACCATCCCATGGTACTGAGGGAAGACAGAGGCAGGGGGAGAGGGAAAGAAGGAAGGCAGTTGAGGACCAAAGAGAATAAAAAAAAAGACCCAAACCGTTGCCCAGGGCATTTCCCAGAATTCCTTCCCGCTGCGGGTTTGGTGGATCTAGCACCCCTCTTCCCTTCAGAGGAAAGCACAAAGGAAGAAGATAGGTTGGAAAGCTCAGGGCAGCAGCAGACTCCGATTCCACCGAGGAATTCCATTGCCTCAGAAGCTGCAACCCCAACTTTCACCGAAGCCCCTGCCTCCCTCTGCCCTGGACCCCTGCTAAAGCAGGGCTATGGGTCCCCCACGGTGGTTCCCTTAGGAAGGGGAAACTAGCACTTTTAGACATGGCTCTTGGCTGGGTGGGGGGCAGCACGGGAGACTTGGGGGACTGAGGAAGAGACCACTCCTTGAGGCCACCCAAGAAAGAATAAGAACTTTGGGCTCAGTTGCCAGGGTTTCCCCCCACCCCGCAGAGCACTACAGAGCCTCTGAAAGACAACAGTACCAGGGAGCCCCTCCACCTGCCGCCGTCACCCATCAGATGCTCTCCGTCATCCTTTGCCAGGCATTTCAGAGTTGCTAGAAGGCATCTAGCTCCGAAGTGTGGAAGAGCTCTATTTCCCCTGGGATGGGAGTGGGGGTGTGGGTCACAGATGGACCAAAGGCCTCTTCTCTCAGCAGCCTCAGCATGCCTGGCTTCTGACAAACTCCGGGCTGCCTTCCCACACCTCAGTGCCAGCGGAAGAGGGTCATTCATGGTCTCTGACATGCCTTCCACCTCTCCACCTTCTTACTTATGACTGAGCTCTTCTCCCAAGCTGGAAGGGCCTGTCCCCTTAGTCAAGTCCTCCTGCTGTCTGGAGAACTTGCTCAGCACCACCTCCTACACCGAGTCTCCTCTCACCACTCCATTTCTCTCCTACGCTCCTTCCTCTACCCCTCCGTGTATATAACTCTTGCTTCTCTGATGCTTATTGTTCACAATTTTTGATGGGTAGTTATCTTTTTGTGTGTATCTGATTTCACAAGGACATTGTAAACTCTTGAGGGTAGGGACCATCCCCGAGACCTCTTTGTATCTCCCAGACTAGCTATAAGAGTGCTGGGTACATAGTAGGTAATCAATAAACACTTATTGATTGAGTCATTCTGTTACTGTTTTATTAATTGAAAGGGGCCCAGCCAGGGCAGGCATGACAGAGAGAATGGGGCCAGGGGGAAGGGAGGGCAGAAATTGGCTTTACTTCCCACCAGGTGGATAAAACATTCTAGACTTTACTGGAGACATTATGAAAGTAGGATACCACCACCACCCCCTCCACCTTCCCAGGGAACCTTAACCTTTTCTTCCCTCTTCACAATTCTTTCATCAAAGTTATTTACTAAATGGCTGTGTGTTTATTCCTTTCATTCTCTGAACCAGCACTCTGAGGAAGGTGAAGGAGACCTGATAGTCTCCATTCGACAGATGGGGAAACCAAAGCCCACATGAATAAAGAGAATTTTCCCCCAGGGCCACATTGTTGGTGTTGGGGCCCCAGACTCTAGCCTCTCCAGATAGGACTCTGCTGACCCACTAATTGAGTGAGCCCGCCAGGGGTCTGCAGGCTGCTGGAGGATAGCACCCCATGGCCAGTGAAGTCACGCCATTTGAAAGAGACACGACACCTCAGTTCTAATTTCCTTAACTCCAGAGGAGTGAGAGTTTGGGAGGCTGTGTTCGAATCTCATGGGGAATTAACAAAGCCTAAGTCATAAAGATGTTAACTGTGACAACACTGACAATGATGCCCCCCGCCGGCCCCCCACAAGATTCAGCTTACCCAGGGCCCCTGGACCAAGTGGGCCTCGGCACACAGGAGCCTGATATGACAGGCATGACCTTGCACCCTCCAAGTAGACCTTCTTTGGTGAAGAGGCTAAGACCCCAGCACCCAAGCCCATTTAGAGAGAATGGAGACAGGCAGGAGTTAAGTGTGGAGAGAAGGAGCTCTCTGAGCAGAAGGTGAAAAGGGGTCATGTTTCTGGTCTGGCACCAGGAGCCCCCAGCCCACTTGACTGGGGAGCCCTAGGGGCTGGAAGATGGGGTTGCCTTGCTGACCGTGTTATGCTGAGTGGGCTCTGATGAGTCACTGGCTGGCAGCCAAAGCACTTTACAGATTCACCATTTCCTTGCATTCTCCAAATACCCGAAATGAAGCAGGTGTTTTTATAGGAAACAAAATGGAGGCCCAGAGAGGTGAGTCAATTCCCCAAAGCCAAAGAGTGTCGGAGTCTGACTCTAAGCTTGGCAAGCCTTCCCATAGTAATGTGGGTCTAGGATGTTGCCTGGGATGGTGTAAGAGTTCCTTCTGCTTTTCAGAGTCCTGTGGCCCCCCTGTCTCTATCTGCAGCTGGCATATAAAGGCCTTGGAGGGCAAGAGGGCACAGAGCTTCCCTTCATCTTAGGATGAGGCTGCCCTGGGATGCCCTCCTTTGGACTTTCAATCCGTGGAGATTCTATGGAGGATGTGAGAATTTCATCCTCAACTAGAAAAACCAGGGCAGAGCCGAGAAAGAGCAACTGTTCCCTTTGGCTGGGACAGCAAGAAAAGTCTCTCTCTAGATAGTTTCTTAGAAATTTCCCTGTGTCTGAGTCCAAGTTGAACAGCTTTCAGCTCACCCCATTGCCTTCCATCATAAAGTAATTTAGATTAGCCACAACCAAGGGGTGAGTGAGGGCCATTGGGTTTATGCCCCAAACTGATGGCTCTGACCCTTGCACAAGGAGAGATGTTTCTGCCTTCCCTCATTCCTCTGATAATAGTGTGACTCATGCTTTGTCCCCTTTGGGGCCACAGTAGTGACCCACTGCTATGTGATTATTGATCGGGGAGGGGGAGGCTGAAACTGGCTTCTGAGGTGGGGGGAAGGGCAAGCTCCAACGTTCTGCACGACCTGTGCGCAGTGACCTGCGCACAGCCACCGGAACAGCCACTCAAGCAGCTCTCCAGCCAGCCAGCCCACACTACCCGTGCCCTCACTCCCTGTGCCCTCGCTCAGTGTCAGATGATGTGCGAAAGGCTTTCAGGGCCACAAGGGCAAACGAGGTAAAGTCTGTGCTTTGCGGGAGCTCACAGCTGATCCAGGACCAGATAAGACATGCACACCTAAGGGTGGTACAAGGCATGATATGGCCTGTCCTGTGACAGATACGAGGGAAGTGCCAGAAGGCCAAGGGCTACTTTGGAAAGGTTTCTAAGTCCCCTCAGATCCAGATCAGTATGAAGGGAGGGTCTGGCACCATTTGAGCTATTGGAGGGGGTGGGGTGCAGAGGGCAGGGGAAGGATGATCAAAAGAAAGTGCTTTCTGTGGCCTCCGGGCCACGGGAAACAGAGAAGAAAGGCAGACAGCAGTGTTCAGGAGGGAACAGGATGGTACTGCACCACCCACCCAGAACCCCTTTGAGTTTACCTTGCAGGACTCCCAAGTGGCTCCAGCAGAAAGAGCGACCCTGGGGCTCAGCCTCCCGTCCTTTACCTCCTTCTCTGGGGCAGGTCTCTGGCATCTGGTGGGGGCAGCAGAGGCAGTGCCCATCCAGGTAACCTGAGGCCTTTTGGCCCCGGACCAGAGAAGCACAAATGTGGGAGAAGGGAGAGAGGAAGGAGAAGTGTATAGTGCTAAGGGAAAGCATACAGGGCCTCGCAGGGTCAACTGTGCCCTCCCACTCAGCCCTGGGCCTGCGGGCAGGAGGTTCTTTGGTGCCTGTCATAGCTGCCCACTCGGGGACACAGAGGCCCCAGGCTGGGAAGCGCATGTGCTCCTCAGCTGGCTGGAGCCTGGCCTTTGCCCAGCCTGATCTTCCTGGCCAAGCAGCTGAGAGCTTTGATGGGAAATCCTGTTATCTCAACAGGAGAGAGATCCTTAAACAGGAAGTCCAGCAGGTTATCTCTCTCTTTGGCCCTAAATGTGGTGGCTCATCCTTGCCGCGATGTGATCACTGATAAAATATTAACAGGTTTTTATCTGGCACAGCGATACAGAAGGTGTGATGGGACCACCACCCTGCCTCACACAAGCAAACCACTTCCCTGAGAACTGCTGCTCAGGAAGTCCCAGATAACTCTTGCCCACAGTTCCTTGCCCTGGGCCTCTTTCCTCCCAAAATGAGCGAGCAGCAGTGCCTCAGGGCTTCACAAAGCAGGAGGTCACCCTACAAGGGCAGATCATTTGGTTTGGCTCTCCTGATGTCCCCTGAAATTCCTATTTCTCCAGAATGGCACCCCTGCCACTTCATAAGTCACTTCCTCAGAGGGCTTCGAAGAGCTTTCTATTTGCAGTCATGGCCCTGGGTGGGTGGGTGGGGGTAACATTGAGAAAACACTTGTGCTCTCAAACAGATATGTAAATAAAGCTGCGTGAAATAAGGTGCTAAATGAGCATGAGTGGCTGGAGCAGGCAACCCCGAGTTTCGGTGGCAGCCCTTTTACTCCAATGGCCCTTTCTAGGTCTGTGACATTTGACAAAGTTCCTTGTGGGTTGCTCAGGAGAAAAACTAGCCACATGACAAAATCACAAGCAACCTCTTTATTTGCGTTTATTTCTGGAATCACCCAGTGGGAGGCAAGGAGGTGCATCAGCATCCCCCACAAAGACTGTCTGATGATATGGTGAAGACTGCTCCCTTGGTTGAAAGGCACTGAGTGCCTTGATGGGTGGGGGGTGGTGGTGGAGAAAGCACGTATGTTTTTCTTTAAAAAAAAAAAAGATTTTATTTGTGTATTCATGAGAGACACAGGGAGAGGGGCAGAGACACAGGCAGAGGGAGAAGCAGGCTCCATGCAGGGAGCCCAATGTGGGACTTGATTTCAGGACCCAGAGATCACACCCTGAGCCAAAGGTAGACGCTCAACCACAAAGTCACCCAGTCCCATGTATATTTTTCTAGCAAGAGAAACCCATTCAGTCATAGATTAGTCACTGCCATCAGCATTTGCACTAGTTTCTCAGTTTAGTGCTCTTTAAAAAGGAGCCAGAATGAGAAGAGGAGTCCAATGGGCTTAAGAAAAACTAGAACACTGATTCAGAGGCAGTGGACACTGGAATCTCAGGGGGAGTAGGGGACTTCTCTGAGTAACACATGCACTCTTCAACTAAATCATTCAAGAGCCTTCCGTGGAGATGAAGTAGAAATCAAGAAAGAGACAAGATGACAAAGATGGTGTCATCTTTTTCTCGGCAATTCCATATGCACCTCAGGTGGTTAATTTTACTCTTCTGTGTGTAATCATAAACTAGTGTGTTCTCAAGTGTCACTTTTGCACTCCCCAAGAAACTTGCCCACCTCAGCACTGTCTGGGGTGGGGGTGCGGTACAAAGGAGCCAGTAAGAGCACTCCCAGGCAGAGGCCAAGAAGTCCAAGACCTCCTGGAGTGTAAGAATAGGATCTTGATGGCTGTTTTGATATCAGGAAAGCTGCCAAGTGACAGCTCTGAGTGAAAAACCCAGTCAAGAGGAAATGAATTTCCACATTGTTTGGAGGGATATTCGTTACATAAGTGAACAATTTCCTGATCATGAGGGCAGTTAAACATTGTGTGAGACTGTGGAACTTTCTTCCTTGGAAATTCCTATTAGTGTGGGCTGGCTTTAGCCTTTTTTCTTATCAAAAGGAGGAAGAGGAGACTAGTTATTTTCAAGACAAGCAGTGGGAGTAGTGGGCCAAGAGCCTGGGCTTTGGAATCAGACAAACCCAGGTTCAGTTTGGCTGTGTGGCCTTGGGAGAGTCACTTCAATTCTTTACACTGTAGTTTCCACAAATGTGAAATGGACATGATGCCTGCCTCTCAGTGTGGTCATGGCATAGAGCAGGTCCTCAACAAGTGATTAACTGTGTTCCAAGCATGTTGGTGACCCAGAGGGTCGTGTCAAAGTCACAGCAAAATGTGTGCCTGTGGGGAGCAGGGGCAGATGACAAGGTATATTTCCCACCACAGATCTGAATCTACACCAGCAAGGGATACTTTCTTGGGTCAAAACTCCTCAAGATTCTTCCCAAAAGTCAAAATACCTTGGAGACCTTGGGTGGACTTCGACTCATCAGATCCATTGACAGAGGCCAGAGGAAGAGCAGACTTGAGAAGGTAGAGAAGAAAGGAGGGGTGATGGCTCTTTGCCCTTCATCCAGATCTGCAAAAAATCTGAGGCGGAACAGAACCATGATCAATCAGGACCTACTTCTAGAGAAAATCTTATTCCAAGGGGACTGCAATCTGAGTTAATGCCCCCAACTCTGGGACGGTTGGGGAGATACAACCACCACTTTCCTATTTCGCAGCCTACAAGGGTGCCATTGGTAAACAGATTTAGCATTGCCCCCACCCCCATCCCCTTACTGATATGCCCTAGCCCTTCTCCGGCCCTTCTCCATTCTGTTCCTGGTGCTTCAAATGAGATAATTTCACATTCCTCTCACACACTTGGGTATTCCTTGATTCATAACCCCTCCCCCCACCTAGTCTTGGGACTTTACTAAAATACTCTTCCCTACAACCTGGAAAACCCTCCCCACACACCTCCACCTTCCCCATCCTCACTGGTTTCCATAACCTTGTGGAAAATCAGACCTTTTGGGAGCAACTTCCTGAGCCTCTGCCTGAAGTCATCTTGCCTGCCCTTGAGGACTCAGTGGTCAGAGGTGTGAAATGTCTCATGGAAGGCACCCAAACCATCTGAACTAATCTCATCTTAAAAGGGTTGGGGTTTCAGATGATTCACACCAAAACTTTGGACTTGCGGATGGAGGCAAGTAACAAAAACACATTCCTTCTGCAGAAAATGAATGCTATGTGTGTCTCAATGACTAAAGTTTCAAGACTATCTGGGTTAGTTCTTTCCAACCATCTAGTTCATTATCCAACCATGTGCCCTGACTTTGGATTCAGAAAGTATGGTCCCTGGGGAGCACCTGGGTGGCTCAGTGGTTGAGTTTCTGCCTTTGGCTCAGGGCGTGATCCCGGGGTCCTGGGATTGCGTGCCACATCAGGCTCCCCACTGCCTATGTGTCTGTGTCTCTCATGAATAAATAAATAAAATCTTTAAAAAAGCACAGTCCCTGAATTTCCTCTCTGCCTGAGAAGTAAGTTAGGGGGTGTCCTTGTTACGATGAACACGTTATTCTCTGGGGGAAATTACACTTGACTCGGCCTGAGCTCATCCCTAGCTTTCTTGAGCATACCCCCTGCTTCACTCCTAATGTGGTACTACAGAGAGAGCTTTTGATTCATACATAGTACAGAACTCTTATATGTGCTCTATCTGGGGACTGCCCTTGGGAACCGAGAGCCTGACAATTAAGCCTCTGCTTCTAAATTATTGACCCAGATTATTCGCAATCACTGGACATGGACAACCATATCTTTCTGCCCCCCACCCAGGGGGCCACCAAGTCTCTGACTTGGTCCTCTGCTAGCTGCCCATTTGTTCATCCAACAAGCATGTACTGACTTCCTGACATGTACCAGGGACTTATTTTCTTGTAGAAAATAGAAAAAAGAGAGGCTTGCTCTGTCTACTCTTTATGGGTAGCTCCTGTTTATCCTGTTGTTGTTTTTCATTTATTTATTTATTTATTTATTTATTTATTTATTTATTTATTATTTATTTTAGAGAGAGAGAGAGAGAAACTCAAGCACGCCCTGAGCCAAGCATGGAGCTTGACTTGGGGCTCGATCTCAAGACCCCCGAGATCACCACCAGAGCAGAAACACTCAACTGACTGTGCCACCCAGGACCCCTGTGTCTTCTCTTGAAAGATGCTATCACTGCTCTGGGCAAAAGGGAATGGAAGACCTCTTCAGAAATGTTTTTTTATTTTTCTTTTAGTTCTCTCTCTCACGATCTGGTCTCTATAGACTTCTCTTGACTGCAGTCTGTAAGTCTCAGTATTTTAAAATTGCATACTAGGGAGCTTCCTTTTGATAACATTTGGAGTCTGTGGGAAAGAACAGCCATATTCCCTTTTGCCTTTGGCAGCCTTTCCAATTATCCAAACGAAAACTCAGCTTAAGAGAAACGCTAGGTCACTCCAGCTCATGCATTCTGAAGTGCTTTTTGTTTGTTTTTATCTACCTAGCTCACACTGATTTAGCCAACCCCTTCTATGAATGAAGTGCTGCTACAGGCTCTCGAGGGAGATGGAAATATCGACAAGTTCCCATCGTTAGCTCATTCATTAAGAATTATTGATTACCTACTATCAACCAGGTACTATGCTAAGCTGGGGCATAAAACAGCTGGCAAATACCAGTGTGGCCCTTCCCCTCGTGGAACTTACTAGGCAAAGAGACACACAGACATCGTGTGTGCTGTGTTCACCACTGTGTATCACACAGGACATAGTAGGTAGCCAGTATTTGTTGAATGACTGAAAGTAAACAGCCAGATAGGTAACAGAAAATTGTAAGAATTGGAGAGGTGGGTGTTCTAGAAGAGCAAACAGTATGGGTAAAAGCTCAGAGGTAAATAAGAGCCTGACCTGTGTCAGTGGGAAGACCATGGTGAGGAAGAGGAAAAGTGAGTAATGATGAAAAGTTGCAAGACACAAAGTAGACGAAGTAGAGAGGGTGGATTTTTTAAAAGATTTTATTTATTCATGAGAGAGGCAGAGAGAGAATCAGGCTTCCTGTGGGGAACCCAATGCAGGACTCAATCCCAGGATCCCGGGATTATGGCCTGAGTCGAAGGCAGACGCTGAACCACTGAGCCACCCAAGGGCCCCAGGAGGGTGGGTTTTATTCTAAGTGCAATGAGAAGTCATTGGAGGGCTTTCAGCAGGGAGTTATGTCATCTGATTTGTGTGTGTGTGTGTGTGTGTTTTGTTGTTGTTGTTGTTGTTTTACATCTGGCTATTGTGATAAGACAATTGTGGGAATGAGAGTGGAAGCAAAGACACCAGTTGGGAGCCACAATTATCTGCGGGAGTCACTGGTTGTTTGGACTAAGGTGGCTGTGGTAAAAGCCAGTGAAGTCAAGATCTATTTTGGCAACAGAACTGACAGATTGGATGTGGGGGACTACGAAAGAGGAAAACTAAGGATGACTTCCAGGTTTCTAGCTTCTGTGACAGGTGGGTGGAGGTGCCATTCTCTAAAATGAGGATAACTGCAGGAAGGAACTGTCCTGGGGCGTGTCACTGTTTTTATTTATTTTTTTAAAGATTTTATTTATTTATTTATTCATGAAACACACAGAGAGAGAAAAAGAGGCAGAGACACAGGCAGAGGCAGAAGCAGGCTCCATGCAGGAAGCCCGATGTGGGACTCGATCCTGGGACTCCAGGATCTTGCCCTGTGCCGAAGGCAGGCGCCAAACCCCTGAGCCACTCAGGGATCCTTTTATTTTTATTTTTAAATATTTTATTTATTTATGAGAGAGACAGAGAGAGACAGAGACACAGGCTGAGGGAGGAGAAGCAGGCTCCATGCAAGGAGCCTGATGTGGAACTTGATCCCAGGAATCCGGGATCATACCCTGAGCCAAAGGCAGATGCCCAACTGCTGAGCCACCCAGGCGTCCCATCACTGTTTATTTTTAACAAATTTTATTTGAAATGCCTGTGAGACATGTAAATGTAAATGTCAAGTAGGCAGTTAGTTATTTGAATCTAGAGCTTTCTAATAGGAAGACAGGACAAGGAAGTTTGCGATAAAAGCCTTGTGAGTGACACAAAACTTACATCTTCAAAGAAAACATTATGCCTGGCTGGGTTACTTGGGGGAATTTGCGGGGTGGGGGAGGTTGACATTCGAGCCAAAGGAAAGTTGACGAAGGAGAACATTCCAGGTGAAGGGAACTGAATAGCAAAGGTGGAGTAGAACATCTCTGGGCAGGTTCAGAAACTGGGAAAAAAAAAAAAAAAGCTCAGCTAGGATGGAATGAGGTTTGTGCTTATAATGCTAAAAAGAGGAGTCTAGAGGGCACAGTGCCCGCCACATGGGACTCTGTATTGCTCTTGCTCTGGAAGCACCAGCGAGTCTTTGAGCAGAGGCACAGCCCTGAGGAGGTCATCCAAAGCAGTTTCATGACAGTCGAGTGGATGGAAGGCACGAGAACAGGAGGAAAGGGAGGCCAGTGATGAGCTGATTTCCATTTTACAGGCATGAGATGATCAGGGCCTGAAGGCTGATTGGGAAAAGGAAAAGTTAAAGGGTGAATAGGAGGAATGTTAGAAAGGACAATTATCATTATGTTAACCTAAGAGGAGAGCCAGGAGGAGGTGCCCACTTCTGGTTTCTGGGTGGCTTTTGCCTCCATGCTGGACCAACTCTGGTAAGGCTGGGGGGCACTCTTTAATCTATCGTGGCATTTAACACTGGTTAAAAGGTCCTCACGCTGGCGTGGTTTCACCGCAAATAGGTAACAAAGGGGAAGCTCTGGAATCGGCATTGTAGTAAATGGAGTCACACACGTAAACTGTTGCAGGAAGCAGCCCTCTGGGTTGGGCCTCGGAAATGGGCGGGGAGTAAGTGCTCATAAAGAGTGGTGACATTTCTCCAACTTTTTTCTTTTTTTTTCCCCTTTACAGATTTTATCCATTTATTCGTGAGAGAAACACAGAGAGAGGCAGAGACACAGGCAGAGACAGAAGCAGGCTCCTCATGGGTAGCCTGCCATGCGGGACTCTATCCCAGTACCCCAGGATCAATTCCTGAGCTGAAGGCAATTGCTTGACACTGAGCCACCCAGGCACCCCCCCCTTTTCTTCTTAAGAGTCCAACTTCCCATATTCTTTCCTACTTTGCCCCTCACTCACCCAACACATGGCCGCACATGCTCACTCCCTCCGCCACAGGCTGGACCTTCAACACTATGAATGTTTTTCTGACACCACCTTCCATCCGTGTTGCCTGCCTCCAGGCCAAGTCCCACTTTTGCACAGCACCCCCTCTGAAGAGTAAGGATTGCTGAGAGGATAGCTGAATGTGCTTCCTCCCCCCCCATCCCCATTTCAGTACTTATTTCTATTTAGACACCTGGGGCCTTGGATATCATACCCCAAATGTCTGGCTTGAAGATGAATCAGGTGGCAGGCTAGAGCTGCGGAGAGGTGAGGGCCCGAGGATGGGTGGTGGGGCCCGGGGTAACTATCAGCACTGGTTCTGCTGGTGGAGCCTGGCTCAGGCCTCCTCCCACTCCTTACAGTCTCACTGGACAGTACCTGGACCAGGCCTCATCTCCAAGGAGGAAAAATAAGCTCGGGAGGGTTTTCCAAAGTAACTCTGCATGGCAAAAGTGAACAGATCTCCAAAACATTCCTTGGCACTACCTAATCCTATTGCCATTGCTTGATCCCGCCGTCCCCACCTCTCCCACTTTGATTGCTTCTCCCTTCCTACTTCTTTTTCATTGTTGGTATATTTTCATGTGTTCATCGTTCAACGTCTGATGAAGAGTGCCTTGAACTTTTTGGAGAGTCCGTTCTATATAAACACAATAAAGCAATGAGTAAACAAAATGTCTACTTTTACAAGGGTATAGGTTTTACTATTTTCGGGTAATAGGAGATCAGCCCCCTTCCTCGGCACTGTTCTGAGTGAGGGATAGTAAATAGATCTCCCTGCTCTAAAATAGCTCCCTCACTACCTGAAATCTCAGTCTGGTGGCACATATTTTTTGAGTTGGGAGCCCTGATTTCTTTTTCAGAACTTATGAAAGTGCAAATACTGTGTGCGGCTGGGGAGATGGGCTGTTATTCAACCTTGGTTCCCTTGACACGAACCCATCGCTTCTACCAAATGAACATGCTTTTCACATTCCAGCTTTTCCCCTGCTTTTGGACATGCTATTCTTCCGGAGGTGATGCTAAATATAATATCAATCATAAATATAAAATTACATTATATGTTCAAGAGTCTCTCATCTGAGATCTAAATCCAAACCTGCTCATTCTTTTTAAAAACAATTTATTTTTTCCAATATAAGACGAATAATGGGTTTATTATAGAAAATTTGAAAAAGGCAGGAAGATAGCAAGAAGAAAAAAATATCAACCATAGTCCTATCATCTAAAGAACCACCATTGTTGCCACTGTTGCCAGCATGGTCACGCTTGTTCTTTAAACAAATCTAAGTTTAGGTCCCATTTCTGATGTGAAACCTTCCTTCACCTTCCTCCCCCAGAACCTCCCTAGCATGTCTGTACCACTCACTTGTACCAGTTAGTTAATGTGGTGTGTGTCCTGTGTTTCCAACTAGGTTGTTCAGATTCTTGAAGGCTGAAACCATGAATTATACTTCTTAATTTATCTCCCAACACCTACTCCATTGGACACAGTATTTGCTGACTGATTGAACCTAAGTGCATACAAACCATTTCAGAAAGGATATGAAACAGGTCAAGTATCTACATCATGAAAATTAAAGCTTTCAGGTCACCTGGCTTGGTGACTATTGCTTTTCTGTTCCTGGAACTCCTGAAAGCCTATGAAACTAGCCTCTTTCTCCACACCAAAACTGAATAAGAAGCAGACTGAGTAAGAGCCAGGATTTACTCAAATATTCTCTACATAAGGCATAAAGGTGAGAAGGAGAAAGAGACCACACACACAAGGAGAGAGAGGGGGAGAGGGGGAAGGAAGGGGAGAAGGAGGGAGGAAGAAGGGAGGGGATGGTTGGAGAGGGGAGGGGAGGGAGAAGTGAAGATAAGAGAAGACCAGAGAAGACAAAAGAGCAGAGTAGGGTACAGAAGGGTATATAGAGTATATAGTCCGGTGCTCAATCCAGTATGTGATTTGCCTCCAGCACCGTATACAGGATCCCATCCACTTGTTCTGAGTCAAACCCGATCTCACGAAGCTCCAAGTGAGGGAGGACAGAAGTAAGGAGATAGCTGACGTGGATACGCAGCCGCGTAAGCTTGGCCAAAGCCCTGTATGATGGAGTGAGGGGGGCAGAAGAGATGACATGAAGTCATTAGCCATCAGAACCAAATGAAGCCCCTTAAAAACGGGCCTACATTCCTCAATAATGATGCATCCATTAGCTAGGCAGAAAGAAGAAAGCGTGGTGCCATTGAGCATGGGGAGGCCGACTGCAGCTCTCTAGGTAACTCCTCCATCCTTGGTGGTCTCTAAATTAAGGCTTCCTCCCTTATCTATGGCCAGTGACAGGGGGCGGGGGGGCGGGTCCTAAGGCCTGCTTTCCCATTAGCACTCACAAACTGAGAACTAAATCCTAGGAATTAACCTTTCTAGGTCATCTCCCTCTGGGGTCCGGTAGGAGACCTGAGCCTTCTGCAGCACTTCCAGGTGCGTCTCTGTCTCCTTCAGTTTCTCTTTCAGTTCCTGCTTTTCTTCCTTGGTTCTCTCCAGCTCAGCTTTCAGAATCTGGAATTCAGCTTGGCGATAGCCCATGTGTTTCTTGCTCCAGTATAAGCCTTCGGTCTCCTGAGTGGTGTAGGTCACCAATTCACTCTGGACTTTCTGGAATTCGGAATGCCAGTGATTCCTCTCCTGTTCCAGCTCCTCCACCTGCAGTCCAAGAAACAGAAACGCAATGACCCCCACATGCTACGAGCGTGCCAAGGCGTGTCCCCTAATACATTTACTCCACGGGTACTCCATACATGGGCCACTTAGGGACCTTCTCCCAATTCCCCCAAATACAGGAGGGGAAGCCCATTCTCGTTCATTCAATATGAGACAAGGCACAGAACGATTCAATGGTGTCTTTTGCCTTGAGGCCTCCCAGGCCAGGGAATCCACCTGAGCCTCGGCTCTGGGCTCTCCAGGTTAAAACGCTCTCTCAGTCCCAGCAGTAAGGTGTGGCCCTGACCTTTTGCTGGAACAAATTCCGCTCGGCCAAAACACGTTCCAGTTTTTCTGTGGTTCTTTTCAGTTCTTCTAGCTCCCTGTGGTTCTTCATCTTGGGCGTGCTGCAGCCTCTGCTCTCGTCGAAGCCTCTGCCTGGTCCCCCAGCGGCGGTAGCTGGGGCTGCGCCGGAGGCCCCAGAGGAGTAGGGTGCCGGGCTCCAGGACTCCACGGCTTTTCTCCTCTCGGCCAGCTCCTCTCTGTTGAATGGGATCAGCTGGATGGGAGCCCCCGAATCTCGGACGCCTTTGGCAACGCCGACCACAGCTACAAAAGGTCCCTTGTGTGCCTCCTCCTTGTTTGTGCTGCCTCTGTTAGACTCTTCTGCTACCAACCTGGGCATCTGGTCTTCTAATTCTTCATGGAGCAGGGACCCCTGGTGTTGGTCTGGGGCCCCTGAATACAGCACTGTAACCTCCCGGCTCTGACTGCTATTCTTGCTTGCTTCTGGGTATTCTGGAGAAAGGTATGGCGGGGTGCTTCTCTCCGAACTGGATTTCTCGTGGCTGTTCTCCCCTTCTGGGTAGGCGGCAGCTGCCTCAGCCCTCCTGTAAGGGCCAGGCATGGAATAATCTAGAGGAGGTGTTGTCATCTCATTCTGGAGCCTTCTGCGTTTCTCTACCGGCTCCTCTCCCAGAATCCATTTGTACTTGCTGCAAGAAGAAGGGAAAATTAAATGTTAGTTTTAAATTAAAAATTAAATTAAATTGTTGAAATACAAGCTAGGCATATTCTTTTCCTTTGGAGCCTCTCTCCAAACTCCATGTATTAGAGCAGACTCTAGCTGTTAACCACACTCAGTTTGGGTTAGGAATACAACTCTACCTACCCCTGCCCCCACCGCTGGAACACCAAACTCTGCACTCATCCACCTTGTTGAGACAGCAACCAGTCTGAAGGTAGAGGTGAAATCAAAAGGTATGAGACACCTGGATATACAGTGAGACCAGGCTGACTGACCTTGGTAAGAATTCTGAAAGTAGGACTGAAACCAGCCCAACTCAGAAGTCTCCAAACTGCAAAGAAAGGCAGAAACACACACACACACACCACCACACACACCACACATGCAAAATCCTCTGACACAAGAATGGAAAAAAAGGTCATAAAAAGCCTAGTAGAGTATGCGGAGGAAAACTGAGCCAGCTCGTTAATTTTAAAGTGTCACAAAAACCTTCCAGTTTCAAAGACTTAGGAAAAATTTTTTTTTTATTATTGCAACAGAACACCACGCAGTTCCTTTGCCAGCCAACTAGATTGTGGCTACTGCCCATTATTCACTTGTAAAAGTTAATTAAAACACAGGGCCCTCGTCGTCGTGGTTGGAAACAAACAAGTTAAATCGGCCAATTCAAGTCATTTCCCTCTTACGGCAAAAGAACTCCCTTCTGCCAGGGCAAACAGGCACTCCCTCATTTCTTCAGGAAAAGTACAGGATAGGAATCTCAAATTGCCTTCCATTTCTGGCTGCTATATGTACTAACTGTTCTCGAAGGAACCAATGAATCTGGTGCCAATGAAATCTATAGGCAATTTAAAATCAGCCAGGAGGATGGGACCTCCCCCTCTCTTCCTCCCCCATCCTTTTTACCCTGAGAACTATTTTGGCCCTTCCTGCACAAAACCATGACATTTCGAGGTGAGAACCACTTTTCAAATTTTTGATGAGAAAGAGTCCAGCATATTATCTATCAGCCACGTC